TAAAGAAACAAAAATGGAAGCTAATCTTTCTTCGAGGATTCCTCGAAAAAAGAGATACGATTCACACTATTTAAAATCTAAAAATAGCCTAACATTTTAAGAACTTTGTTGAAGAAATCCAATTCTTGAGGAATTGCTCTCAGTCTAAAAATGTTTTACATCAAAAACAATTAATTCAATGACACAAAAATACAATACAAACGAAAGCGATATTTTATTCTCTATAAAAATATAATGATTCAATTAGAAAATTACAATGACTTGATAAAAAAAAACTAAAGAGTATCTTCAACTTTTCGTACATTTTAAAAACGAAAAAATGTAATGCTTTTGCTCTACGTTGTTTTTTGAATAAAACAATATTTCTCTCATGTCGTTATATAAAAATACTGAACTTGTATTAACATGAAAAGGGCCATTGTAAACAATTTTATCGGACAAAAAATTAAGCTTTTTAAAATAAAATTTAAGAAAGCTTAGATGTTACAATAGAAAATTTAATTTTTTTCTGACAATAAATGAGAAAAATGCTGTTATCTATTAAAAATGGAAATAAAAGAGAAATCATTAAGTGTCACGAGAAAAATTTTTGAAAATAATTCGAGATCGTTTTGACACTTGAAACAATTTACTCTTTTTAACGAATAGTGACAATTATGATAGTAATATCATGCGCAAATAGATTACCTAAAATCTTGCACTGCATAATATCTACGCGTTACATAAATACGCACTCATCCTTGTATAATATTCATATTTTATTTCTCAAAAATGCTCGTAAGATTTGTGTCAAGAAATTTAAATCGTTCTATCTCATTTATTCCTTTACACAGACTTTTATCAAATAGTATTATCTTACGCTCTTACACTCGAATAAAAATAAATATTTCCGATTGTATTCCTAGAAAAATTGTTGCAAGCTATATGTATAATATACAATCGTTAATCTAATTAGATTATTAAGTATTCTTATTATAAGCCCATCTGTGTTTCTGGTCTATACCGAGAAACCGAGAGATGATAGTTTCCCTCTTATTCTGTAAAGTCGAACTTTAGTCATACCCTAAAACGCACCTTCACTTAATGCACTCACATCTAGTATCATTCTTTGTCAGAGTCTTACATACCGGCGCTTAAGATTCGTAAACGATTATGATCGTATGACTCATTACTGATCGAAACGGATATATTTTACATCATCACATGCCTTTCAATTCTATGTCTTACGATTAAAGGATTTCTAAAGACCTCGTCTATTAGAAAGGCTATAAATGTTCTTGGTTGAGTTCTTTACGGGGAAGGAGATCTCTCCAGCTACTTTTTTCCTCTTTCGAATCGAAATTCGGAGAAATCAATGGATCACGATGGGACCTCTTCATTAATTTGCTTCATTAATTTTAGCAAATTATTAATTAGTGCAGAATTGGATTGATTCTTCGACCAATTCGCATCAAATTTTTACAAATTTATGTTTTCTCAATTTAATTGTAATAGTGTTATTATATATTTTTTTGTGTTCTCTTCTTCTCTCTTCTATAAATATGGTCTATAAAGAAGTATGGAATTTATTTAACATATCTTCATTTTTTTTAATGCGGAAAGTCATCTCATTCCTTACATATATATATATTTATGTCTCATAGACATATGTATATGTTTATATGTATTATTATATATATGTATAGATATATGTGTATATAATAAATATATAATAATACATATATTATTACATATTTAATATTATTACTAATTATATATTATTATATATTTAATATATAATAATACATATATTATTATATATTAAATCTAAATAACAAATTTGTCATCAAATTGTAATAAGTAAATTTTACTCTCAGCAAAAGACGATAAAGAAACGATAAAGAAATTCCATTAATTTCTCTAAATGCGCCAAATAAATGAAAGATCAGAAAAATGAACATATATGATCTATTGTTCTACGTATATGAGCTACATATATGATCTATTGTTCTACTTTTATAGTCATTTAAGCCTTTTGAGAGAAAGAGAAATTCTTTCTTGATGAATAACATTGATCCCATCGCGATCGCGAACAACAGTGGTGCGCAATTTTCGTTGGAAAGAGAGAGATAAGAGATTGCGGAATATCGATGGTTCGCATGTATTATCAGTCGCAGAGATCGATCGGCGCGGGAAACAGCCCCGACCGTCGTCTCGGGGGAATAGAAGACGAAGCAAATTGTAAAAGATTAACCAAATGGAGGAATATTACATTGGCAGTGTTACAGTGTACGATACACGCGACGAACATAAAATCAAAACTAAAAATGTACGCTTGAGAGTTTTATCCTCCGAGAGCGACTGTCGATAGTGACAATTCTTTTAGTTGGTATAGAATTGAAAGAGTGGTGTTAACTAATAATAACGTTCATTTGAGAGCTTTACTCTCTGAGAAATACTGATTGACATTGAATTGAAAGAGTGAATCTTAATTACAAAGTGTTCATTGGACAATTTGACTTTCTAAGAATAATCTTTCGATAGTAAAACTCTCAAGTGTAATCTAATAACGGACAAAAACTATGAGCGCCGGTGGAACATCGTCCTTACAAATCAATACGAAAACATTCGATTGGATGCACTTGATGTGCATTGGTTTACATTAATGCATTTGTGATAAGAATGTACAATGTTGAAAATTTCGCGAATTGAAATAATATTCCTAATGAACAATATATTTTTTTCCGATGCAAAAATTTATTCTAGACGAATGATATCTTAAAACTTTTACATTTTGATCTCAATCCTTCCATTGCCAAAATTCCTGATTAGTAATATACGTGGATATATAAGATTTTTTATAGATCAAAATTTATCAATTATCAAAAAATTTTATAATAAAGACAGCTGATTACATATATGATTATATACATATATGTATTTATGGCAACGAAAGGATTAAAAACGCTCACTCGTTTGTACAAATCATACGGTAAAAAATATGTTCGCAATATAATATATACAATAAAATATACTTTAATAAAATATGTTTAACATTTGGCGCTCATAAGAGAAGAGTTACGAATCTCTTAAGTGATACTATTCTTTCGCTAATCCAGTACAAAAACTGATCGTATCAAAAAGTAAATTCGGCAACAAATAATAATCAGATATATATATATTACCGTATATGTATATATATTACCGTTGACGAAAGACCATTTTTTTTTTTTACTTTAGACGCGGCCAGTAATGTACGATTTTATTTCTAATTGTTACATAATAATTGATTATGTCGAGTGCTATCTAGTCTTCTACGTGCGCAATAACGATTTATTCACATCTATAGAGCTTTCTTTGGTACGAAAAATATATTTGAGATAGAATGCGCATTATCGCTTAAAAGGGAGGGATTCTAATTTATAATATATATATGTCTCTTTGACCATAACACGCCTTTACATAAATTAATATTTTAAACAATATAAAAACCAGGAAATTATATGAGTATTAATGTCAAAACAAAATGCATTACATTATGCCAATCCCATTAATAATAAATCACATCATTTATTATTTATCCAATGTACTAATATAGATATAAATACGTACATCACATCCACAAAAAAAGAAACTTAACTATCGTAACACGTTAACTTATTTATAAGGAAAATATCTAATACGTATATATTTATAAGTCCGACGGCAATAACTGCCTTTTTCATGTTATTACGAAAGTTTGAAGAAGAAAAAGACTGTACTGGCTTCTGAATATAATTTCAGATAATGAATAGGAGATGAATTTGGAATTTTCTCTAAGTATTGTACGACGATTACTATCATTATGTTCTCGCTAATAATATATACAAAATTTATGAAATCTTGGTAAATTATATTTTCGTACTTGAAAACAATGAAAGGAAAAGAGCGAATTTAATGTAAAAATGGAAGTACGCGATATATTTATTCATATAATTATACTCATTCTTATATAGTATAATTATAGATAATTTATAATATATAATTAATAGATAATTATAGATAAATGTACGAAAGAATAAAAATAACGTAACACAAGCAGCAGTCTGTAAATTATTAAAAACTGTAAAAACGTGCAATTATTTTAAACGCATTAATTAAATGCTCAGAAAGACAGTCACGCATCTAACGTGCGAGATAACTAGCACCCGTTACTTGCCTCATGAATTAGAACCGAATCTTCTAACGAAATGATTATATTGCAACGGCTATAAATTTTGTTTTCGTTAAATTAAAACTTCGAGTATAATCGAAACAAAATATTCACAATTTAATTAAATTACGCCATTATTATTGGCGTTTTAACTGATATCTTAATCCTGCACATTTACAATCATGCGATAAAGTTTAGTAACAGTAATGGTGAACAGAAATAATGAAATAAGTAGAAATATTCATTCTCCTCGTTCGATCGATTCTAGCTAATCAGAGCTTACCTCGACAAATTATTTGTATTTATATAAAAAAAGAAGAAATGCTGATTTGGCACAATATTCTAATGCAAAATACACACAGGATCAAATATGCGGTTTGTACCTTCTATAAATCTGCATCAATTACAATTACCTCTGCTCACCTCGATCGATTTAGAATATGAATCTTATACACATTACAAACGGATGCATTAATTATTTGATGTACAGATTCAATTTTTCCATATACCTCAGTATCGTACATGTTTGGATCTTCATTATTAACAATCTGAATCTTCATTTGCGAAGTCGACAAAAATACAGCCTATTTACAGCTTACGTTGAGGCGTTGTACTTCTTCAAATTCAATCATTTCAGTAATATTAATGGATTCTTTTAATATTTCTTATGGCATTTATAAGCTTTTATCCACTGCATTATGAAAATTATGAGACGATAAGAAAATAAAAATTTACGGGTATGGATATGTTATATTTAATTCTTCCAAATTTTTAAGCAATTCTTTATTATTGTTAAATCTTAATTTGTAAAAGATAGTTATTTTCAAAAATTTCTTATATTTGGAAGGATTAAATTTGCACATTCTCTTTTGATTATGAATGAATAAATTCGTAAAAAAAAAGCAGCGGATAAAAGTTTTTCAAATGTGCACGAGGCCAGTTTATCCACACGAGCAAACACATCATTTAAGAAAAATGTAGATCGCCTAATTATCTATATATACAACTGTACATTGTTAAGCGAGATTCATAAAGAGAACTCGTATTTCAGCCGAATAATCAATGCGAGCATCTCCTTTTGGGAAGATATCAATACAATACACTTCAATTCTAAACAAAACGTATTACTTACTGTGATTAACGGACGTAGACGATTGGAGCAGTCCATTCACTCCTCTACCAAAGGCGTTTCCTTCTACTCGATAAGGAAATACGCGCGTCTATATTTAATATTAAACGTTCAACCAACTCTTTAGATAAGATAACTGAATCGTTTGATTCACCAATCAGTTGCACGTGTAAGATCGACGAATAAAATTCTCACGTATTTTATCGCCTCAATTTCAGCGCGATCATTGTTCGCACTTCTTCACTCTGTCAGAGTTCAAAGATAAAAGTTCTGCCGTATTAAGCGCGAGCAAGATCACAGAAACAACTCTAAGGCTCATGTCACATCTCATTATCTCTGATACCTCTGCTATTTTATCGTTAAATACAAGTGGAATCCGGATGTTGACTGGCGGACTTCCTCGTCTTTTTCGGCTCCTTCGTCGTTAGCTCTTGAGACGGTCTACGTTGGCTGCCCAATGTCACCAAAGCGGACGCGACGGCTAAACCGGCGCTCTGTCCGGCTGGTGTGTAAGGCTCACCACCAGTCGGCATTCTGACTAGTAGAGACAAGACTGCCGCTCTGTTGCCACAACAAGGCTCCAGTGCAATCGGACTAGGAGCATCCTGTAATGGGAAGATCTCATAAAGCAAAATGTTCTATTTTATTAATAATGTAAAATATCTAAAAATAAAACGAGTTACATTTACCTTCTTCTTTTTACGAGAGTTGCTAAAATCGGTATCACCGTGTTCTAGATCTGTGCTATCAATGTCGCGTCTCTCAATCTCTACTACAACTTGACTGAAAGCCCTACTGGCCATCTGTTCCATTTCTAGAAAGAGCCGTTGTCTTCGTCGATACATATCGAATTTCTGTTTAATCTTCCACAGAACGGCGGCTACCAATAGCAGAGCGAGAAAGCACCTGTGTGATGGCATGTAATCTCTAGTTTACAAGTAAATACTGCCTGATGTTCAATATAATGGAAAGAATATAGAAAATTTAGAAAATAAAATGTTGGGCCAATAGATGTGTCATCTCTCAAGATCAGTCTTCGCATAGTGTTTAAAGAGAATTTAACATAACTTTAATTCATTTTATTTCAAATTGAAAACTACTTCAAAGTCCAACTTATGATACTCACGTGCAGAATGTAATGAAAAATTGTTGCAAATTCAATTTGGAGTACTGAGAGAATGAGATCTGAATCCACACTGGCGGTTGAAAGTCATAAACGTATACATAGAATGTGGTGAAAGTATTATTATCTTCACTGCCAAAATTGTAATCCGCCTTGCTAAAACGGTGTTTGTACATGCTCGTCGTGCAATTTACGCCGAGTAACAGCGGTTTTTCCGGACTGTTTACTTTTTTGATGGTAATATTCATCTTAGCAAGTACGGAACACGTGATGGAGAATTCGGCATCGATATCGGCTTTCGGTGGTGAGTTTTTGAAGTTAATGGCCCGATAGTGACGATCTTCTTTCTTGCTTAAGTTAAATGTAAATTGATAATCAATAGCCAAGTCATCTGAAACATAAATACATATATAATGATATATGAGTTAGATATATGTACAAAAGTTAATAAAATGTAGAAGCAGATTTTATCGACTCACAAAAACAAGATCCTTTATTCGTAGGATCTCCGTTATAAAGACCGGACACGTCACAACGTTCGCAGTGATCGCCAATAATGCCTTTGGTCGTGCAAAAACATTTGCCGGTTTCGCTTGTGCATTGCGTGCCTTGATTGTTGCAGGAGCAAGCTGTAATAATCACGCGCAAGTGTCACATTCAATTGGTTCTTTCTCTCTCTTTTTCTCTCACTCGGTCGTGACGGGACAAGAAATATCATGGCATATGAAAAGAAAATTACATACGTTGACACGTTGCTCCATTGAGTGGACTGCCATAATAACCAGAGATACATTTATCACAATGTGGTCCATAAGTCAAGTTCCCACACGGTTGAATGCAGACGCTGCTATTTGGAAGACACTTACTATGCCCGTTGCATTGACAGGCTGCGAGGATAAAGAAAATCACATGAATGATGCAATGTTTCATTATAGATATACAAAAAATGTATACGATCAATAAAAAAGACTCGCTTACTCGGACATTTCGTGAAGTACCAGTGTTCAAACGGACACGTTTCCAAACTCTTGCTGCTTGGACCACTGGCTCCGCCAGGTAAACATACGCCTTTTCCAGTACCCGATCCATCGTCGCACCAGCCGCATCCAGGATCTGAACGACAAGCTGCGCACGATGAATAGAAATTGCACCAATCCTTGCCAGTCTCTGTGGGACGACACCTAGCTTCTATAGTAGTCCATTCGCGACATTGTCCGTAGGGAAAACTGGCCGGATATGCATTCTTGTCTACACATCTTGCCTCATTTTGACACCAGATGCAATCGCCTTCCGTGCAATTGCGACATGTTGTGTACTCTATGCACGCATTATAGCGACACATATCCGTCGTGCTTGATGATGTGACTGCTGATGTGTATGAGCCGTTGGGAGACATCTATTTTTTAGAAATTAATAAGATTAATCGATATATCTATTTTTTTGCAAGTTCAAATTGTTGCATGAACAAATTAGAGCAATATATTACAAATTTCATTTTTATCAAAATATAGTTTTTAAATTACATATATTAGCTATTTCTGAAATGTTTAGAAAAATATTGAAAATTTGAATATTTCCTTTAACTTTTTACATCCATTATACAGGCAGTAAAATATTAAAATATATTCTATATTTTAAATATATTATTTCACATACCATAGAATTTTCTCGTTGCAGCTTACACCGGTCAGGCCCGTTGGACCAAGACCAATAACAACGCGAATTGGTTACGCAAGCGTGGCATGTATGTAGTCGATGGCATTCGGTGCCACTCGAATCGCACTGCTGTGGGTCCATAATAGGCTTCGAATTCGGCGAATTAGGATGATCCCGACATTTCTCATATAAGCAACCCTTGCCACACCAAATGCAATTATACGAAGTATGCATGCAAGATGTGCAGTCGTTGAAGAGCTTACAGAGCTCCTCGTGCGAAGTCATACCACGCGGTGGCGCGTCGTCTAAACATTTCATGTAAGTATCATCGTCTTGATATTTCTTAAGCATATGCCTCGTGGTCGGCTGGCATTGGCCGTCTTTTTTGTGCCACACGCATTTCACGCCTATCCTGGCGTTCAGGCACTGATTCTGATTCGTCAGATGTTCGCAATTGCCCGGAGTATATCTACGCAATAAATAGATTTCAATATATACATAAATATAGGGTGTTTCAGACCATCCGTACCACCCATTTAAAAACTAGAGAAGTGGTTATTTAAAAAAAATAAAAACATTTTCTTGATAAATCGGATGCGCTCTATCGAATGGTGATATTTTCAACTTCTGGTTCCGGTCAGTAATAGGCGATTCAGACCAGAAGTGCATTTTTTAAAATTGAACTCCCTATTTTCCATTGCATATTCTTGTAGCTTACCTCGAGAGCTTTCCAAAACACTATAATAAATTATTTTTCCATGAAGTACTTTTCGAGTTATGAGGCTTAAAATCATTTCTTAATTTTACATAAACCATACATAATACACATAATTTCTTAATTTTAAATAAAATATTTTGTAATTTGCCTATTTCAGGTCGGAACCAGAAGTTGAAAATATCACCATTCGATAAAGCGTATCCGATTTATAAAGAAAATGTTTGTACTTTTTTTAAATAACCACTTCTCTAGTTTTTAAATGGATGGTACAGATGGTCTGAAACACCCTTACATAAATATATAAAATTCTTTTTCCCTTATAAGACCGTACCTCAACATGTCAGAGAGCATTTCACCATCAAAACCGCCGTAGATGTATATCGACTTCTCGAAAACCGTTGCACTATGACCGAATCGCGGAAGATCGCTCATGTCCTCAGGCATAATATATTGATGCCAGGTGTCGCACAAAACGTCGTAGCCAAGCGTGTCGGCCGAATAACATTGCGCACCGTGCGACTGCTGCGTATCATTATGCATATTACCGCCGAACACCAGCATCAATCCGCCGTAAATAAAGGTGGCCGTGTGAAAGAAACGTGCCGACGGTGCTGATGTTAGCCGACGCCACTCCGAATTATGAGGATTATACGAATACATTAGGTTGGTCAACTCTTGCGTACTGTGCGTCTCTGACACGTAACCGCCGTACACATAGATGAGATTCGTGAGAGGATCGTAGGCGGAACTGTGACCGTAACCGCCCTTCACCGGGAAACCCTTCGCTTTGACAATCTGCCACTCGCGCGTAGCTAAATAGTACTCCTGGACGGTGTTTAAGTAACCATATTGCGGCGAAAAACCGAATATCACAACCATCTTTTCTTTCTTGTTGTGACTCACCAAAGTCGCAGTGTGTCCAGCTACCTGTAAAGATACTAGACTATATAAAATATTACACTAAGCTCCAAATGAAAGTTAAAGAATAAAAATTAGCATCGATTGATATCGTTACAAAAAGTTAAAAAATTTCACTGAACTTTCAGCAATAAACAAGTCAAAATTGATTGAAATAAATATGAAATAAACACTACTTATCATTTTAAATACAAAGAATATTTCTTAAATGTAAGATTACGTTTTCTAGAGAAACTAAACGCACCTTTAGAGGTCCACACATTCTATTCACATTCGTTTTATTGTTTTGACAGCTATTATACACGGTGACGTTCTCCCAGACTTTGGCGGATACGTCGAATGCCCAGATCTCGTTGGTCATGGTGGAGTTTTGCAAGGCACCGCCATACATGAATATCTTGTCGCCAAAGAGTACGCACGAGTGAGCGTAACGAGGCAACGGTGCACGACCCTCGACATGAGGCGTCTCCCAGACATTGCCGTTATAATCATACACGTATATCATCTTGGCACGGTGGAAACTCTCGCCGCCAACCACGTATAAAGAATCTTTCCAGACGATAGAACAGTGACTGGCTGACCCATTTGGTGGCAAATCCTTGTACGTAACACTCTCCCAAAATCCATGATCACTCTTTTGACTGCAGTCTGCGCCTAAGTCCCGGAAATCATGCGTATATATAAATAAAGATTTATTCTATTTTATTTTATTTCTTAAATAGAAAATAGTTTGTGAGAAATTATATCATAAATTATTTCAGATTTATTCTAGCTCGCCTATAAATATATTTTATTTTTTTCAGAAAAATATTAAATGAATATATGCCACATTATTATAATTATAATGGTTATAAATATGGACTTGAATATTGGATATTACGATTTCCATTTCAATGGCGTGATATTATACACGAATAATGCTATTATGCTAAATTAAATTTGTAAAATAATCGGAAATTTTTATGAATTTATTTAGGTCTCTTAATTTTGAATAGTTATCGAAAATAAAAATATTATAATAAATTTTATTTTTAGATGAATATTATATTTATTATATATAGATTACAATTATAATTTTCAAAATTAAATTAAAAATACAAAAGCAATAACTGCGCCAAGTTGAACGTAGCAAAAATATATTAAATTGACTTATCAGCGTGAGATCATAATGAATCGAATAATTGCATAATGTAGATCGTAAATGTAAAAAAGCTAAAAATTATAATCATATTAAAAGAATATTATTATTGCAAAAATTAGCAGACTGAAAGTCGTCATCAAAAATTACATCGAAGCATAAGTAAGAAACGCTGACAGTAATAGATAAACGCACGTTTCGAACCTTACCGGTTCATTCTCAATGTCGAATTATAAACAATTATAGAAAAATCATAATACAAAGTCAAGCAGTAATGTCGCAGATAAACAAATAAATTCAAATGTAACCGACGCAACGTATCTCTCAATTATATGTATATAATACAGATGTTATACAAAATGATGTAATTAAAAATTCGCACGCAAAATGATGAAAGAAATGGAATGCCAATTCATGTAGGTGCGCGGTTGCGTCGGTTACATTTGTTTATCTGCGACATTACTGCTTGACTTTGTATTATGATTTTTCTATAATTGTTTATAATTTGACATTGAGAATGAACCGGTAAAGGTTCGGAACGTGCGTTTGTCTATTACTGTCAGCGTTTCTTACTTATGCGAATCTTTGATATAACTTTTGATGACGAGTCTGCTAATTTTGCAATAATAATATTCTTTTAATTTGATTATAATTTTTAGCTTTTTTACATTTACGATCTACATCCATGCAATTATTCGATTCATTATGACCTCACGCTGATAAGTCAATTTAATATATTTTTGCTACGTTCAACTTAGGGCAGTGGTTATTGCCTTTGTATTTTTAATTTAATTTTTGATTATTATCTTCAACCACTCTTTTTATAATTTTAATTATAATTTTATTATATAATTTAAAGAGAGATCAGTGGTCAATTATTAACTAATTCACACGGTCAAATCATGATTTTTCTCATCATTTCTTTACCTTTGTAGCCGTTAATGCAGCGGCAGTGATGACTCTCGCGATCACAAATACCCTGAGGATCCGAGCAATTGTTCGGGCATACTTGCACATCGCAGGCTTCACCAGTCCACATGGCGTCACAGGTACACGTGCCTTCGATGCACACTCCATGGTCGGAACAGTCAATGTGAGAATATCTGGAAACAATGATACATGTACACCATGATGGGATATCATTCTTAACTTCAAAGTATCACCGTTTTCAATTATATCAGTAAGCAAATATACATATTCTCGTGCGCTATTTACTCGATCAAACAATAAGTGTTTACCTGTATCAATGTTTCTCTACTGAAAAGCAATTGTTGGCGACAATCATACGTTCTGATTAGATTCAATATTTGGAGATAATATGTTTTGTTTGCAACATTGCAGAAATGCAAACAGTTCTGTAAAACATGTATCGTAACGTGCGAAATCTATTTGAATAATGAATTTGGAGCCAATTTTTTACGATATTTGTATATTTAAAAGATTCTAAAAATAGCAAAAAAAAGAGAGAGAGATTTCGAGGTCGAAAAGAATTATCTAGTTTCTCATATGTCAGGAAATATCAAAATGTGTCAAAGCACCAGTTTGACAAGATACTAACTGTAATCTTGAAAAATGTTCTTGCTTCTCCTAGATTGATTTTCGGCATCTATCCGCTGATCGTCTTCTGACCACAGGTAACGTTAACAAACATGACATAGATACGGTTACGCGTATTTCCGGCTCTCAGAGGAAGCTCGATAAAGTTTCTAAGCCAGGGGCGACCCAATTACGAGTTATCGGTAGTTACCATCCTGTGTAACCTCGGCAGTTTCTCTCTCTCTCTCTCTCTCTCTCTCTCTCTCTCTCTCTCTCTCTCCCTCTCCCTCTCCCTCTTTCTCTACGCATCTCTTTCGCATTGAATGCTATCTTTATCGAACACCGCATATTTCGCAAAGCTGCTCTTTCTTTTTTTATAGACAGATACAGCTGTCTTTCTTCCTCTACCGAAAATTATGCACACATAAATTATGTATCGGATTCAGATATGGCTTTAAAACCTCATATGCGGAGTGACGTGAGTCACCCATGCATGTGTGACTCAAATTATGTCCTTACTCGCTAAAAGCCATCGTGCAATAACCGTTTGCTTTTTAAGGTCGACCGATATTATAATCTCAACCGATATCAACTTGCATCGTAAATATTGAGGAGTACTCTCCATAAAATGTCCCGCTCCACTTTTCCCCCGGTCTCGCCAAAAAACCATTTTTTTCGCAAACAAAGCAATCAACCGCGCGTAACATATTGTTATTTATAATAATCTTCATCCAGAACAGAATGTTGCTCGAAATCATGGATTTAATTTAAAATCATATCTTATTTTTTCCTAATACATCTCTTAATCTCTTAATAAGAGAAATATAGATGAAAAATATATTTGATTTCCGCCGAGGTAAGATAAAGGAAGACGATGAAGGCGAAGTAACGAGGACTTGATCGTTAAGTAGACCGCAGCCGGCGACGCTCGGACTCACCTGCTCGGACAAGCGTTGATTTTATATGTGATATTGAAGCCGCTCATGTTATACGCGACGTCGGAATAAAAGTGCAGCAACACGCTGCCGGATCGCGCTATTACTTCCGGCACGCGGCGTATGTGATAGCCGTCCTTGTGCATCAGGCCGGAGAAGACGGCCAGAAGCGGCGCTTCGACGCTGTCACCGTCGTAGATGTACAGATGGTCCCAGCCGCATTCCGTCGCGAATTGCTCCACGTGCATACGTATCTTGGTGTTCGGGCTGCTCTCGATCAGCCAGGAGCACTTCACGTCCGCCGTATAATTACCGAAACCGTCGTGGATGATGCCACTTCTCTCTGATAGTCTGCCAAAAGAACAAAACAGAGGACGGTTAATCGACGCGAATAAATTTGTTAAATTGTACGGCATGTATTTTAATTACATAGCGTGGTGATAATAATGTGGTAAATTAGAATCTTATCAGTACATAAAAATAACGGGTAGAGAGAAGGAGAGAGACAGAGATAATATTCATTTGAAAAAATTGAAAAAAATGCTACAAAAAATAACCATAGTAGCTACAGTTTGCACAATATTAAGTAAGATAGATTTTAATGAGAAAAATTAATAATAGATCGAGAAGGAAATCTGCATAAAATTGTATTTACATTGCGGATAAATATAATTTATACACAGACCTTAACGTAAAGATATGTTTCGACATTAATTGTTAAAAATAGCCTTTGTTGTAAACAAGTGGAGGTACAAGTGTGGGCAGTAAAAGAGGCAGACACATATATCTTATAATACGTAGAGTGCAAAGTTCAGCGTAGAAGTATACGATTAAGAGATCTTTTCGCGATTTTCCACACGTGTTTTTATGATCTTCATCCCATTCTCATTGATAGCTAATTGTCCAATCTAATTCAAGAAGAATTCAATAAGTTCAATAAGAATCCCATGAATTCGATCAATGTCGCGTTCGTAAACGCGAACGAATAATTGAACCTAATTAATAATCCAAGCAATCGCTCGCATATAATATTAGATTGCATTATACGTATTGTATTATATCGCACAGATACGTATATCGGACGGATGCAACAAGCGTGACGCGGAAGAGCGAGATCAACGGGCACATCATCGTCAACGATAGAGCAGTCTAGCACGCCACCAACTTCATTAATTGCTCCCCATTTTGTTCCAGCGACCGTTGGCAATACTATAATAAGGGAGATGCGCGTGAGGCAGGCCGAAAGCCAGCGGAATGAAAAATGACGTTTGACGTCCTTGACAGATCCAGACGAGATGAGAGAAAGTACGGTGCATCTTAACGCTGCGCAACACCTGCATTTCTGCGCTCGAATGCGAAGGATGGAAAACGAACGTAGCGTGATTAAATGAGCGTGCACGGAAATAGAATAAGTGTCAAATCAAAACTTATATACTTAAATTAACGCGTTCATTGTTTCGTATGTACGCGACAATTTATAATCTTCTTAGAAGAATTTAATAATTTTAAATGTCAACAATATTACAGTCTTATTTCAATATTGTAATTGTCATCTCAAGAATATATAATTATTTAATTCTACTTTAAGAAAATTATAATCTTTGATTTAAAAATGTTATTTTCTGTTTAACATTGTTTCCTTTCCACTCAAGAAAATTAAATCTTGAATCAAAAGAATATATTTTTCTTGAATGAAAGATATAAAATGCTTCATTTAAGCAAGCAATTATATTTTTCTTTAATTAACGCGATCTCATTTCAAGATTTTCATGTTAAAACTAAAGATATTTTCAAAACAAAAATGTTCTTTTTTCTGTGCATGAAGAAGTATTAAGAAATTTTGAAATTTAAATCTGAAGAAGAAAGGAGAAAGAATTTAATTTTAAGTATACAAGCGAGATACTTGGCTCGTCAATATCTAGTTTTTTATATTTTCTTTTAAATAATTAAAAATTAAGTTATATCTTATAACGGTGCTCAATTTTACATAACAAGAGAGATTATTTTCTATTTTATTATACGCTTCTTTTTCATTGAGTAGCCGTGTATATAAAGGTTAATATTAATTCTGATTTTTCCCGACTTCAATTGCCAATTGATCCCGGAATAGGATATAAACGAGATTTTATGTACAATGAATTCGTGAAAATGTCAGTGCTGTACTAAAATAAAATCGTTTTCAATGTTCATTCAATCGCGATTTTATTAACTAATAAATAAATAATAAATAATAAAAGAAATAATAAATAAAGTATTACGCTCAATATTATTAATCTCGAACACTAAAGAGAAATGTTAATAAAATTAAGTACACAACACATACAGTACACACACAGTAATAAATAATATAAAAATTAAATAATGTATTAAATAATATAAAAAAATATATATGTAATATTTAATTTAATTTAAAAAATAATAAAACAAAATTTAAAAAATTTAAAAAAAAATAATAGAGCAAAATTTAATAGAGCAAAAACTTGTTACGTGGAATAACAAGCGCGTGAAACACCTGCGCTTTAGGAAACACGTTTTACGACCACGTGACAAGAGAGGATGTGCGACGATGACGGAGGAATAATAATGTGTTGTGTAAAAAGAATGCAGCTTTCGTGAAGATGCATCCGGTATCAATGAAATATCGACAACGGATATCATGTCGATACTTATGCCACGCATATTTATGTGTACATGTCTATTGCAGTATAATATACGCGCGTGATAACATTACGCGCATTACATTAATCGTGATCTTATCTTTTGATTATTTAATCTCGCGGACAATTTTGCATTACATAAATATACAGGATATTTCAGAAGTGACCAATTCTTCTTGCGCACAGATGAATCGAGAACAATGGCAACATTGTTGAGGCATCGATAATCCTCAAACTGCTGGAAATTAAAAGCACAGGTAATTTAAAAAAATAATTTCAATGAGATAGCACAGACTATCGAGTACACTCTTATCTGTCAATAACCATTTCCGCGACAGATGAGCTCGTTTTCTTCGTCCAAGACTTTATCGTGAAACAAGAATGCTGTTTATTTGCATCGAAGAAGAAGTTTATGGTAACAATAATTACGAAAACGTGCTACATAGATATAAAAAATGACATGATTTTTGCATTTTTAAAATGTGTGTCGTTACTATTATATATTTTTTCAATACATAATAATAAAAAAATTGTTATCAAAATAGATAATCTATTTTCTTATCCCATTAACTTGCAACGAAAAAATTATTTATTTTATTATCCAATTCTTATAAAAATATAGCTAATTCTTATAAAAATAATTAAGTTTGAAATAAAATAAACACACACACATTTGAATATTCTATACTATTCTATAATTAGAAATAAAATTCTATATTCTATATCTTTTTTTTGTTTTATATTAGAATATAATGAATTTCGACAAAAAATAGATAAATCACTTCGTCAATATCCGTAAAAAATTTCGAAAGAAAAATAAAGACGATATAAATGAAATCGTAGATTACACCTTCCTCGAGGATTGCGCGATACACTGTCGTAATTGTCGAAGTTACAACACAGCTGTGTAGTGTATCTGTGTAGTGAAGAAATTCTAAGAGTCAGAATAAAAAAATTAGCATGTTATGTATATCGTGTAGGACTGAACACGCGATTGTAAACGCGGAATGAAAGAACCTAATCACGATTCTTCTATAAATAACATCTGATTAATCATTGGGAAGAGGGTCAAGAACCTTTAAAACCTACAAAGCTCTCTGTCTTCCCCGGTGCAATAATAATAATAAAACAATTAATATTTTAGTATTTTGAACAAATTATGAAGAGATTATAAAAAAATTAAAATCATAAAAAAGTTGTTTACGATAGAAATAGATGAAAAAATGATACGATATCTTGAAGATATTTTGCATCATATATATGACTACAAAATTTATTATGAATATGAATAAAAAATGATAAAAAATTAAAATGATAAGATATAATGTAATAAAAAAGATTTTGTCGCACAAGAGCAAGATAATCTTCTAATCTTTTAATCCTTTTACGATATGCAATTATACAATACAGATATACATATAATCTACACAATGGATCTTTAAAATTATCTACGATAAGAATTATAAATGGATTAATGTAAAATAAGGTACTTTAAATTCTTGCTGAGAATATTAACCGTTATCTGTGCGATCCACACACAAAATTTTTCACTTTGTTAAGAGCGCCTTATAAATAGCACGGTTAGAATTAACGAACGCAGAATCTTTGTCGTTTCTTTGTGATGACAACAAGTCGAGTCATTTGACATTTGACATTCAAGTTCAACGACTGACCGATTTATTCTTTATTCTTCGAAATCGAATAATACAAGCAGTAAAATTCGTGCAAGTTAAAAGACATAAATATCAAAGATGAACGATGCAAATAAATTTGCTTGTTATCGTAGAAATTTCCACTGAATTAATGACAAGCATATTAATAAGCAATTTTAATATGAAAAAATTGAGCTTAAAGCGATTTCAAAATCACTTTTTTCAGCTTGTTAATGTGTTTTGATTAAATGTATATAAAATAAAACGATGTATATAAAATAAAATAAAACGAATTTAAACGTTGTAAATAAGTTGCAGAGAACTTTTTTGTTTTTAATGATATCGATTAGTTTCTGGAAAACATGATTATTCGTCGTAATATTATGAATAAAGGAGAATAGCGAGTTAGTGTAGAAAGTATATAATGATAGAAAATTATTATTATCTTTGACATCAGTAATGATCACCATATCATAATAATTCTGAGTAATTTAGTAAAAATATAACTTTAAATAGGCATTGTGTAACTCAGTGAAATAAAAATAGTTACATGGGTCATTTATCATTTTGCTATAATTAAGAATTACCAATAATTATTATTATTATAAGATCTGAATGATACGATTTGAATTCAGATGATCGCGATACCGCATTCAATGCATATAATTTCGCGAGGAGAAGATTAAAATAATGCACTTAAATCTGGAACAAAAACTGGAATAAATGTGTTGCCATGAGACATACTTTAGATAACTTCTGTGAAAGTTCTCCCGAATCTCTATTTACGTAACTATGTAGCTAATGAAGATATGTCAAACAGAACTAAAAATAAAAGTTGAGGAATAAATAAATTAGAGGATAAAACAAAGCTTGTCATTGAGTTGTTAAAAAAAATATACTTATTTTAACAAAAGAGAAATATATTTAGCACATGCACGTGATTGTAATGAGATTTTCTGGTGATTTATCGAGAAATATTTGTTCCCTATTCGAGACTTTGGAATCGACGAACCAGAGGGACCAGACTTTACGGCGATGTCAC